TCTGGAGATCCACGTTAAGGCACATGAAAAACTAACAGATGAGATTAATGGTCCCAGAGTCTAACATCAATGCTGGTATCAGAGCAGGAAGGGCAACTGCATTCCATAACTCCTAAGTCCACTGGAGCAGCACCCCACATTCAGGTAGAGCTTAGCAGCTGGGCACTGACAACTCCATCCCCAGCTAAAGGTCTCTTAAGGCATGAAGAACTAGGATGCCTCTATTGTGTTGTTTAGGAGATCCTAAAGACTGGTGAACTCTGAGGCAGGCTAAGCAATATGGAGAATCAGGGGCCTGCTAGAAAACCAAGGGGCCACAACAAATGCTGAGAGCTAGGGCGGTCCATCCTGTTTCACACTAGGAACACAAGGCCCAGGACTCAGAATGTAGTGCAGATGGTATCTTTAGGAAAAAGGTATTGTGGGGACTTGGAAAAAGAGTTAAACAGCTATTTTTAGAAATAAACCTGTTGCACACAGGATTTAATTAAAATGTGAAAAACATTAGTTTATATTTTATATTAAGAATTAGCTTATAAAAGGTGAAGAGTTCATGCAAATATAAACGTTCTTAATAAAAATTAATTACAAATATGTGGGCCATACTTACTTGATTTCAGTTCCTCTAATACTGGTTGATCTTCATCTAGACTCTTAGTTTTTACCCAGTGTTTCCACGCATTTACACCATATGCATATTTGAAAGGAAAACTACACTCCGAATTCTCAGAGCTATCATCATGAGACTGGTATTCTGACACTGCTTTTCTCTTCACTCCCTGTCATTAAAATAAATCTGTAAATATTACTGCTTATTAAACTGATCTAACTTACAGTCAGTAATATTACCCTTATCTAAAATCATAAAAGTAGGCAAACTATAACAAACTGCCAGCCAGATTTTGAATTATAAAACAGAAGTAGCAATATTTGTTTTATTCAGCTAAAGTAAGAAGGTAGGTCTTTATACTGAAGGCACTTCTATGAACAGATCTAGTGGCGCAGACTCGGGTATTTCTTCTGCGGGCCCCACGTTTAAATTTTGAAAGCTAAATATACAGAAGGTTTTTGAAACCCTAAAAGAATTTTCTTCATCGTTTCAAAATGCTATGAAACAGTATGCTAGACTATAGTTCTTGTAATCCAAACACCACAAGTTTGTGTGGGTGCCTGTGCACCATAAAGGGAACTGACTGGAAACAGACTAAGCACAAAAGAATCTGGCTAATGTATTTTCAATGCCTAAACTGAGTGAAGTACAAAAAGATTATGAAGCACATAAACAATGAAATCTAACACCGTTGTGATCAGGATGTTATTATTAGCATACATGGACATTTCTTCACATGCTTTCAGTTATTTTGCACATTAAAAGTACGATTGTCAGATAATGTAATGCATCTTTATTAAAACTGTAGTGTTAGAGAAAAGGAAGCCAAATCTTACATATATCAGAGGGGTTGCCGTGTTAGTCTGAATCTGCAAGAACAACAAGTCCTGTGGCACCTTATAGACTAACAGATTTATTGGAGCATAAGCTTTCATGGGCAAAGACCCACTTCATCAGATGCATGCATCTCA